TAAGAAATAAAATGCTGATGAGTGAATGTAAAGCTGATAAGCCTGAAAAGTTGATTATGAACTTTTTTTTTTTTGGTACCGAGGTTGAACTCAGGGGCACTCAACCACTGAGCCACATCCCCAGTATGTTATTTAGAGACAGGTTCTCACTGAGTTGCTTAGTGCCTTGCTTTTGCTGAGGCTGACTTTGAACTCATGATCCTCCTGCCTTAGCTTCCCAAGCTGCTGGGATTACAGGTGTGCACCACCATACCTGACTATGAACTTTGTTTTTAACTTAAGAACTTTTGGGAACCATTATAGATCTTTAATTAGGTCATGGTATACAATGACAGCTGCAGAGAGTAATTAGAATGGGAGGGAGTGGGCATTTTTTATTTCTCAGAGATGACGTGAAATCTGTTGCTAATGGTAAGAATGAGGAGAGAATGAGAAATTGTGAGACTGTGGCTATTGTTCTCCAGAATTCTGTTTCTTAGAATTCTCTCTATAACTTACTTTTGCTATATTTAAAGGAGAAGGCAAAGTTGTTAAAGAATTTGTTAATTCAGTGAAAAAGAAGCCAATATATTTAAGAGGTAAACATCTAAATTTTATGTTTGAAACTTAATAAAAATCTTTCGCAACTTTTCCATTAATGATCACCTTAATTTTAACATTTCTGTAATGATCTAAGAGTCTTTCGCTTTTGTTCTCACTCTGTTTCGTGGAAAGTCTAACTAGTTCTATTATTCTATCAATTAACCTCTGCTTTATTCTTACAGTTTTGCTTTTTCTCTTTTTCCCACCTCCTTGGACTGTCCAGACACCACAGGAAAGAAGAAAAGGAGATTGAGAGGGGTTGGCTCTGACCAGAGCTGTACAAGTACATAAGGAATAAGCCTCCCAACCATTTTTTGGGCTCTTGAATCCTGTGTCCTCCCAATTTTTTCAGGGATGGCAGCTTGCTTATCTCTAACAAAAGTTAGGCATGACTTGAAATGTCATACTGCAGAGAAATCACTTTCCTTGTCACCAGGAAAGAAAAGAGAGATGGCTTCTTATATCTGGAATCTGGCACTCTCCGCCTTTTGGAATTCGCTTCTCAGGCTCTGTCTTGGCCTTGGCTTGAAGAAGGCAGGGTTGCTGTGTAGCACAAGGAGGTGCAAAAACAAACATGGGCACAACACCAGATACTTGACTGCGAGAAATGTTCTGAAAGTTATAAAAGTGAAATACTACTTCCAGCTGTCACTTTATGCTAGGATTAAGCTGAACTCCAGGGGCTGCAGAAACTAAAAGATAAAGGGTATTGTCCATTACAATACCTATGCAAATTGCACACATTTCCTGGGTTATTTTTACTAATGAATTCTTCTTGAACCCTTTGTCTACTCATCTACTTTCTTATTCTTACTTGATGTTGCTGCTGCTAAGGTATTTGGCAACATTTTGTATTATTTCCTTCTTATAGCTAAGAGCACCCTGCCCACTGGTCACCCTTCCTTGGTAGGACATGTTGTCCCTTGTGGTGGCTTCTTCTTAGCCTATGGTCTACATAAACCATTATTGTTTAAATGAACATGGCATCCAATGATCAGAGTGTAACACAGAAGTAAGCACACAGTAACTTCACGTTAAGACTTTCTGGTTGATAGTCTATCTTTAGACACATGTTGTTTTCTACTCATTGATTTCTGTGATTCACAGCTCTTCATCACAGTGTTCTGTTCAATTTATACCTCAATGACTCAACATGCATAAACTGCTCAGATGATACATCATTACCCGTGCTCGCACATGACCACTCTTCAGACACCTGGATACAAACCCTCAGTCCCTGGGAGGCCTTTCCTTTGCTTGGTTTTGCTCCATTTCAAGGTCAATCGCAGCTCAAGATCACATAGCAGAGATCCAGAAGGGGATGTAGCCACATTTTGCACACACCTACCTCCCACACATAATTTTCATTTTTACCATGGCAGTTGCTGGGCTGCTGCCGAAAACTCATATAGATGTATTATAGGTTTCAGATGAATGGGACAGGGAGGATTGATTTTTAAACACTGTTAAACTAGAAGAACCCAAGTCTTCCTCCCTATCCTCAAACTTGTTAAAATAAGATCCCATCTGAAATCCAGCATCTCTCAGATGGACTGCCTTTAATAGACTTTGATTATTTCTGACTGAAGGAACTCCTGAAGTATAGGCGTCATTGCTGCTACTCTCAGAGAACCACTTCCATATGTGGACTCAGGAGTCAAGCACTTGGAAGAAAATAGGCTAATCTGATTATACACCATGGAGCCCTCCTAAAACTGTGTCAACACTGGCAGAGGTATTTCTCAAAGCTCCTGCCAGAAGGAAGGCAATATTTTTGTGAAGTCTGTGAACCTTCATTCAAATTCAAAACCTTCATTCAGCCTTAGGAATTCATACTAAACAGACTGTCTCATCCTGTGCCAGCTGACACCCGGAGTAATATTCTGCAAAATTAAATATTTTTACTAATGGTGCTGTTCCTTAGCTATTTGAAAATATTTTCTAATAAAGGAAAATGTCAAAGCATATTAAGAGTAATATTTATGCCATTCAGTCATTAAAATCTTAGGCTATGTAATGAAAAACAACCTTCCTCACCATAACTTCAAGAGTTTCCCTTGTCCTATGTTAGATAAAAATGTAGCGGGTATTAATCTTAAGGTTCATTTCAGTTTTTGCCTTGTCAGTATTGTTCATCTTTAAAATTCTTTCAGAAAGACACTATCAAATAGCATTTGAAGTCAAACCCTTTAATAAAGAGAAGTGCCATTATGTTGTTATCTCAGAAAAGTATTGCAAATAACTTTATGTTCATTAGTCATAAATGCCCTCAATGAAAGTCTTACAATTGCATAAAAAATCAAAGATTTTTAGGAGCAATTATCATTTCCATTTTATAGTTGCATGATCTTAGGCACAAAGAAATCTAAGTAACCAAAAATTATGGGAAAAATAATGGATCAAGAAGAGCAGGTTTCTTTTCTATTTTTACAAAACCCCCTTTCACATCCCCCCTTTATTTTACTCTAGCTTCCACATATGAGAAAAAACATTAAGACCTTAACTTTCTGGGTCTAACTTATTTCACTTAACATGGTAGTCTCCAGTTACATCCATTTACCAGCAAATGCCATAATTTCATTTTTCTTCATAGTTGAGTAAAATTTCATTGTGTATTTTTTTTAATATTTATTTTTTAGTTGTAGGTGGATACACAATATCTTTATTGCACTTTTATGTGGTTCTGATGATTGAACCAAGTGCCTCACGCTTGCTGGTGAGCACTCTAACACTGAGTCACAACTCCAGCCCTTATTGGGTATTTTTACCACATTTTCTTTATCTATTCATCTGTTGAAGGGCATCTAGGCTGGTTCCATAGCTTAGTTATTGTGAATTCTGCTACTAAACATTGATGTGGCTGCATCCCTACAGTATGGTGGTTTTAGATCTTTTATGAATATTCCACAGTGAATTTCACCTTTATGTATGTCCATAATGCACTTATTTTTAAAGTAAATATAAGTAAATCTATAAGTAAATATATAGAAGGAAGATCAGTAAAGATCAGGGAGAGGAAGGAGTGAAGGGATAGGGGAAGCACTGGGAACCAACTTGGAGCAAATTTTATTCCATGCTTATATCATTATGTCAAAATGAATCCTAATGTTATGTAAAACTAAAATAAACTAGTAAAAGAAGAGTGGGTTTTTATTTTGAGAATGTATCATTTATGTATCTTTATATTTTTATTGGCTTTATAGATACGTATCACTGACAGAGATACATTTTGAGAACTACTTCATTAGACAATTTGTTATTATGTGAACATGCAGAGTGTTGCACAGACCTTCATGGTATAGGTCCATCATTTGTTGTCTCTTCTTGATGCAATCAAGAGTTACAATAAACACCAGACTTAAGGCCACTGCCATTATAATTTGACCTACTTTTTACTGAAAACTTTAAAAAATAAGGTAGAAGGAATTCACCCTGAAATTATGATGAAAAGGTCAGTGTACCAAGTACCTCACATAGTTGTTATGCATTAATAATTGTTATAACATAGTTGTTATGCATTGCACATAGTTAATCATATGCACTAGACTTTCATGGGACTGGAAGCAGAGTAGGCTTGTTTTCACCAGCATCAGGGTAAACTTTTGAGTCACACATTACACTGTGATGGCTCTGATGTCACTAGTAGGAATTTTTTAGCACCATTATGGTCTTATGAGACCACCATCTTATATGTGATTCATTATCAACTGAAAAATATTTTGTGGCATATGACTGTATTATAAATCACTTGAGGAAAAAAATGTAATTGTCACTATCAATTTGTGTATTCCTGCTTTTTAGACTTCCAGAATCACTTAGCAACTTTTGGCTTGCAAAATTTATCAAAATATTCTATGACAGGAACTCTGAATCTATGTTCTGTGAACCCCTGCCAGTCCCTGAGACACATTCAGGGTGTTTTCGAGGTCAAAACTATTTCATTACAATGCTATGAAACTATTTGCATTTTCCCCTGTGTTGTATTTGCACTCACAAGGAACAAGTGACATGAATAAAACTGCTGGTGGCTTAAATCAAGACAGTGGCTCCAGATTATACTAATAGCCTTTTTGTTTTTGTCATCAAATATTTACAGTAAAATTAATAAATAAATAACAAATTTTAAAGTGCACTCTCCCTTAATGTCCTTGGTTAAGTGGCACAAAAATTACTGAATTTATTATCTTGACTCTTGAGTACACATCTTTTTAGTGTGCTATGGGAAGTACACATAAATTACTCTGCTCTGTACCAAAGCATAATGGTTATCTCCAGGGAAGTACTTCTATGATTATTGGGGATGTAAGCTGAATCAGCCACTTTTTTCATGGAGCACCAATTTTAGTTGAAAGAATTCTGCCAGTCAAAACTTGCCATTCATACTTGGTTACATGTTTTCTCAAAAATGAATGGAAGTAATCCTTTTTGGTTCATAAGTGCAATGATTGAGTGTTCACGTAGTTGTGTGAGATGTGCCCGTCACTAAACCTTGTTGCAACATTGCAGACTACTGTCTGATGTGAAAAAATAATTGAACAAAAGTGAGCCTGTCTTGTTAGGGAAAAATAACTGACTATATATATATATATATATATATATATATATATATTTGTCAACAATAAAGTGCAATTTTTGAAACAAAATCCACAATTGTGAAAAAGTTGCATCTAGCACAAGCTTAAAAGCATACCAATACTTTAAGACTTTTCAGTGAGACTGTGATCTCATTGAAACAAATGATCAATATACAACCTATGAGCAAAAGATTCATTCAAATTCTAAGATACATCGATGGATTTTAGTGTAACAGAATCCAAAAGTTTCATTGAAAGTTTTTTAGATTCCACGTTGCAACTAAGAAATTCAAGAAATTACTTATCATTGAGTTTTGGTAGAATGGTAGATGAGTATCTATAATTCTCTGAGATGTTCGTTAGAAAACTTTCCTCTTTTCTTTCTATGTATCTGTGTGAGACTGGATGTTCTTCATATACTTCGTTAAAACAAACAACACATTGCGACAGATTGTGTGGGGATGTAGATATGAGACTCTAGCCTTGTTCATTCTCATATTAAAGTGATTTGTAAATGTGAAAGAATGTCACTTTCCTTACAAATATTTATTTTTTTGAAACATTTTTATAAAAACATGTCTAATTTCCAGGGCAGTGAGTACCAAAAGCTAAAACACATGAAACAAAAGGTCTTTAAAGTCTGGTTGATTTTTAAGTGGGTAAAAGGGTCCCAAAGGCAAAATGTCTGCAAACCTCTGCTCTTAGAGAAACAAAGCCCCCATCAGAAAGAGAGAGGTGTCTATCTGCTCCAGGAGCCTGCTGGAGGGAAGACTTTCGTGTGGGATGTCAGTGAAATGAAGGTAATAACATGGCACAACAGGGCGGATCAGGGCCAGCCAGCAAAATGGATTAGATTGTCTACGTTTTATTTTAGTTTAGTAAGGAGACTTTTCCTAAAGTGATTTTTAAAGCAATAGTACTAGCTTGTTCTCTCTCTAAAGACATTTTGTTTTTATAAAATTACAGCCTGGAAAACACACTATGTGTTTAGTCTGAGTAGGTAGCCTGAGTTGTTTGTGAAATACTAGATCTCAGATTTGTGGCTGTTCCTCAAAAATAACTACACGACACCAGCAATTAAATTTATGTATCATTTTGATTATTTATACTTTAGCGAATCAAAGGAGGTAAATAATGGTCTGCAGCCGAGTACCTCATCAGCATTTCGTTGGCGAGCCCTTGAGATTCCCTCCATCACAAAGGTGGACACAACACATAATCTTCCCATTAACCAGTCTGGAGGGAACTGTCATCCAGGCCTGCTTCCATTCCAACGTCTTGCCATTTCTAGGGTTGGGTGTTCTTGTGTCACAAACGTGCCTTTTGAACCATGTAATGCAGGCATGTTTAGTCTCAACTATTTTCATATTCCTCCTTTCTTTTACTCATCTCAATTTAGGGATTTGTTAGCCTTGCCTCCCAGAGTACTACAATACTAAACACAAATGTAATATTGCATTGAATTATACCGCCAGCCAATGGCTTCCCTACAGAAGATTACTGACCAGGGGGTTCTCTGTCTTTCATGGGGTTGGCTGTTCCAGCCAGCTTCATGTTAGTTCATGTGATGAACATGCTTTTCATTCCATCTTAATAAACAAATAAGCTAGGCAACTTTCATTCTGCCTCAGAAGGTGGGCTTCAGTGACAGGAAACCATACCTCAGATGGGAGAATGGACTAAATCACCTAGACTTACCCTGCCCATTGAGTGAAAACTAGCTAAATGGTGGAGGGGAGCAATTAAAGCAGCTGGGGGCAAATGTGGTCTCAGTCTCCTCATCTGAAAGAAAGCCTGAAGTGGAGGAAGCCCAGCTTGCAGTTATTCCACACAAGAGTTAGTGGCCTTCCACCTTATGACATGCTACACAATAATCTTACACCAGTCTGCTGCTTGTCATCCCTCAGGATGAAAAACATCAATGGTATTTGCAGCCAAAATTTTTATTTATGAGAACAATCAGGAATTGAGGAAATTTTAACTAATGGGGATGATCCAGTGGGGTTTGAAAAGTATGAATCAAACAAAAGGATAATTTAGGATTCCAAAATGAGTTATAAACTTTAAAACCAGTAGTTTTTAATCTATCTACCTAACTTTGTCATCGGTAGTTATAAAAACCCTTGATAAACTGAAAACGTATATCTATTGAATCTCTCTGAGAATTCCGTTTGATTAGGAATGGTTGGCTGCCTGAGGTTTTGTGGGATCCGGGGATCAGTCAAGATCAGAGGGGAAGAATAGCACAGCTGATTAATGATTGTGTTTAATTCTCTCCATAGTGTATGCTGAGTAGTGTTACCCCTATTTCATTTATGAGCTGAGTGCAGAAGTAAAATAACTTGCCAGAAATATATAGCAGACCTGGAATTGAAATACTAAATACCTCTGAGGGACTATTAGGCACTCTGTTACCACAGATGAGCCACAACTAAAAATCTGCAGGCTACAATTGCTTTGTGAATGCTGTTCAGCTCAAATGTGCTTTCCTCTCTGAATAGTCCAATTAAGCACTTCACACCCTGGTGATCTTACCTTCCTTTCAACCCTTGGAACATTTACCATCATTTAGCTCTTTGATGCAAAGCTGGTATCTGCACTGTTTGCTAGCCTTTTACGTGATTAAATCACATTTTTTTTTCAAATTCATGGGACATGCATTGAGAGGTGGGATGCTTCCATATCCTCCCAAAGACAAGCCTAGTACCTTGTACCTGGGTAGATATTTAATAAATCTTAGTTGCTTGCTTGATATGACCTGCCACCCTGTGTTATATTAAAAACTGCTTAACCTAATATTTGCCACAGACTGAAGGGGTAATCAGATAATTATTTCTGGGTCAGTACTACCTGGGTATGTGATTTAGAATCGCAAGTGTCCTGTAGCCCACAGCCACTGCTCTGGGCCCTTCTGACCATTATGAATGCCTGTTTATCTTCTTGCCTTCATCAACAGCAGCTGTTTATTTAGCAGCCTGACTTAAGACATTCCATATATATACTCAATGAAGGCTTTCTTTCACTATTATTTTTCTGCAGAGGGTGAAATGCTGTCTTGTTTTTCCAGTTCTCCTCCTAAGTGTGATGATTTAGATGTTCCTGCTGTTAACTGGCAGCTTTTCCATTTCCTTCTACCATCAAGTACCCCAGACTTCACAGAAGCCACTAATGAGGTTCTTGCCTTTCAGGCCCCTGGTTCATTAATAACATAGAATTTCAGTAATGCTTGAAGTTCTGGACCTTACTTTTTTTCCCTCTTTCCTTCCATTAGAAAACAAACAAGCAAGCAAACAAAATATGTTATTTGCTGCACCTACTCACTCAATCTTGCCTGTTTAGTGTCCTAAAATAAAGAAGTAGTGCAAAAATCAGATTCAGCTTTCCAAATGAGCTGAAAACTCACAGACTTCAAAAGGAATATGCCCCCCCTCTTTTTCTCTTTCTACCCATATTTAGTCTTTTCCAGTGGTACTTCATGTTTCTAAGTGTGTTTCTTTCCTTTGTCCTAATATTGACCAAGTTCCCAAGTGTATGAGGAACAATTCTAGGGACTGTGTGGATAGAACACAGAAATGAAAATGTTCCTGCCCCATCCCTTCTGCTTGACTTCTGGCTCTAAATGATGCCATTCATTCTGCCCGCCTGCTGGCCCTGAACACAACTTTCTCTCATTCAGACAGTGCCAAGAGAGCATCAATGCCCTTTTGTGCTGCCTCCCTTAAGCCTTGCAGTAGCACAGAGTACAACATAGCTGTCAGCAGCAAAATGCCAATCCCGTCAAACCTGCTCTTCCTCCTGTCCTCTGCTGACCCAGCAGTCTTTGCGGCTGTGTCTTCTCAGAGTGGGTTTCCAAACAGAAGGCCTGAAGTCTTCCCTCCCAGGGTCTGCCCGAGTGCTTGTTAGAGTTGCTCTGCTGGGCAGAGAGCAAAGCCTGCTCCTCTCAGCGGATAGTTCAGCCTGCTGGTCTCTTCCCCTTCACAGTCTCACTTATCTCACCTCAGGCGAGAGTGGGGTACTTTTACTTTCCTTTTACTATCTTTTTATTTTATCCTTTATTTGGCTTCTATGTCAGGGCTCACACACTCCCGTACATCAAAAATACATATAGAGATAATTGCAAAGAAAAATAAATGCATTTCTGCCTTCTCCAAACATACGGAAGTCATCATTCCCTGGGTTCATAAACACATGTTATGTCTGCCTCTGCATTCTTGCCCAGACACGGACAGTATTTTATTTTCCCTTCTGTGAAAAATTCTAAGTTTCATCTCTTGTGAAATTGTCTTGTGAAATTGTGTCTCTAGACTCAAGTTCAACTTGTGTGAAGTCATACAGAGGAGACAGATGGATTCCCAGAACCTGTGGGGTAACAGTCAGCTTTTCCCAGTCCCCTGGTCGGTCCCCTACCTTGTCAGCTCTGGGAAGCTAGAAGTAGTCGCTCCTCATATCATTACATTAATTATGCAGGGTGGAAGCATAGGCAAGCCTTCTTTAAAAAGGCAGAAAACTAGAGATTACACTTCTTTTATGTTTGTGAGGTACTCATCACTGCTCCACTAAAAGGTGCTGCTTTTTTTTTTTTCTTTTCCAAATATCCCATTCCTGAAACTTGGAGCTTTTGCATTAACCCAGATTCTACTAAGGGGAATTAGTCCTTATCTGAGACTTCAGACAGTAAATTTTTTCTTTTCTTAGCATTGAGGCAGGTTTGAGAATGGTTCCCTGTTCTTTTTTTTTCTTCTAAATGATTATGAAAAATTCTTTCCTTTATGCTCAATAAAATAGTCTTCAAAATTTCACACCATGAGCACATAACTTACTTACCACTTATGTATCAATTAATGTACTAAAGAGTTGAGAACCACACCCCCTCCTGCACCCATGGACTTTTGTGAATTTATTGCAGGGCCCCTGCTATCTCCAGCCTCATCTCTAACTTCCCTTCA